CTGGTCTTGTGGCACACCAGTGAAAATGGTTGTCATAGAATTGTCAGAAGTGACAGCGGTTAAAAAAGAGAGGGTCCCTGACCATTTCTCCCGACATCTGAGACCTCACCTGCTGGGTCTTTCACCACCATGGACAAACGGCCAACATCCTTCTGGGGCTCTCACAAGGGGTCCACAAAGACTAAAGCTGAACAGTGTCTCTTGAAGGGGGTTAGCAACATGTCCAACATGAACTGGAACGGCTCACAGAAAAAGCAGGCTGCAGAAAGATGGCTCTTCTCAAGGATGCAAGTTTGACTGTGAAAACAGCTTTGATTAGCAGTGGTAGCTGTGCAGGTAATTGAGAGAGGGGGACTATAGATACCCACTGTCAGTAAACCAAGAGACATGACCTATGACCACTGACCACAGGTTTGCTTGGCAGTCTAGAATCACTGCAAGTGTCCAATGAAAATAGTGGATATCTGGAGGCAGGCACTGCTGCAGAAAGGGTGGCTCAGATAATGGGGGTGTCAGGATGGAGGTCTATTCGATTCCTCAAGAGGGAGCAGTCCCTCTCATCCATGACACTTTTCTGGCACAAGGGGCAGCACATGTTGCATGTGCTGTTCACTAGGGAAAGTAATTGCTCTTAGGCATCATTCCAAAGCTTGGAGGTAACTTTTTGAGTTGTCCAGACTGATTTGTTGCCTTGATTTCAGAAAAGGTGGCACATACCCCTTGAATACCAGGAAAGTTGGCCACCATCCTGAGGATTTTGCAACAGAAAAATTAAGAGCCTGGAGTCATGCCTATGGTGAGTATACAATGACAGACTGGGACCTTCAAAGGGAATCCGGCTTGCTCTGTAAGTGGTCAACGCCTAGGTTCTCAAAGCTCAGAATTTCAAGCCAATGTACATCATGTAATGGGCGGTGATTATGCTGACAACAGGCATGAAGGAAGAGGCAGGGGAGCCTCCGTCTTGTTTACATTGGTATGTGTATGGGGCTCTCTTTTCTGCACATCAGTTTGCTACATAGTAAAGCACACAAACATAAAGTGTGGAAGACTAACAGTGCAGCACACAAACATGTATGTCCCTCATATAGGTCCTTTAGTGTTAAGACAAAAGTTTTAGGAGGTTTTTGAAGTACACTCCTTTACTGTACCTCCATAGAAAGGCATTTGTCTAAACCTCAAATATAGATGCAATACAATTCAGGCTCTTCACAGCATGGACGTACTACTGATCCTAGTGACGTGTAAGATATAAGTATATGGTTAGACCAGAACTGTGGTGCTGTGTTCTATACAGTTACCATATGACTCAGCATGCCCTCTCTGAACAACAAAAACAAACTCCGTGGCCTGTGGACTGTA